GTTGTACTTATATGCATGTATACAAGTCCTTCGATTGATCTCTTTTCTACCCCAGATCTCCCTACCCTCCCCGCTGTAATTTGTAATTTTATTTTCTTTATTTGACTTTGGGATTAGTGTTCTACGTTCTATTTTCCTCTTTCCTTTAGCATCATTTTACTCTATCTTTTAAAAAATATATATTTTATTGATTTTTTTTTTTTTTTTTTTTTTTTTTTACAGAGAGGAAGGGAGAAGAGAGTTAGAAACACCGATTAGAGAGAAACAACAATCAGCTGCCTCCTGCACACCCCCTACTGGGGATGTGCCCACAATCAAGGTACATAGACTGAAACTGAGCCTGGGACCTTTCAGTCCACAGGCCAACTCTCTATCCACTGAGCCAAACTGATTTTGGCTACCCTATCTTAACTCTGCCTTTATGACATCACTCTCTTCCGAATCTTTCCCCTTTTGGTGTTCTGTTTATCTTAATCTTTTCCTGCTTTAGATTTTCCCTATTATTTCTGTTTATCCCCTGCTAAAATTTCACCCTATTTATATATGTAATTCCCAATCCTCTGCTCCAACTCCATACACAACACTATTCGCTATCTTAACTATCCAACAATTGTTGTTCTTTCAGTTCTTTTGTTGTTGTTTGCTTGAATGTTAATTATATTGAAATTTTATGCTTTTCTGTGAAATTGCTTTGCTTATCCTTTTTTTGTTTTGTTTTTGTTTGCTTTGCTTTGTTTTTGTTTATTATTTACTTCTGTTTTCCCTTGCCTTGGTTAATATTAGTTGCTGTTGTAGTTTGTATTAATCTCCAGGTACTTGTTGCTGGTATTTGCTGGGATTAGTTGTTGTTCTATTGGAGTTTCCTCCCCATATATATAGTTGGTTCCCCTTTTCTTTTTTAATCTTGATATTGTCTCTGTTACTTTTTTTTTTCTTTTCCCAATTTCATTTTGACAATCCTTTTTTATCTTTCTTTTACATTTCTTTCTCTCCTATCCACTAATTTGCCTATCTTTGGTGGTCATCTTTATTGGAGGTTATTAATATCATCAATACATTTCTGTCCAGAGCCTTGTGTGTTGTATCTGGTTGTGTTGTACTTTGTGCCTTTAAATCAATGAAGGAGAGAGAGAACCACACATCCAGACATCCTGAGAAGAGAAATCATGGGGAGACAAAGAAACACCCTGCATATGAAATAAAAGCAGGCATCACCAGAAAAGGAAGTAAAAGAAATGGAATCAAGTAACAGATCAGAGAAAGAATTCAGAGAAATGGTCATAGGGTGGCTCAAAAAAATGGAAGACAAATTTGAAAATATGAGTAAGAATAAGAGGAAATGAAGAACCAAGAAGAAATGAAAAATGACATCACTACTGTAAACAACTCAATAGAAATCATCAAAACTAGATGAGAAGAAGCAGAGGACTGCATCAATGAGCTAGAACAAAAGATGGGGGGGGGGGGGAAATACCCAAGTAGAGAAGATTCTAGAGAAAAAAATTAAAAAGCAGGAGGAGAGCCTAAGGGAACTTTGGAAAAACATGAAACAAAACAACATCGTACAATAGATGTTTCAGAAGGAAAGGAAACTGAGCACGGAAACATACCTGTTTGAAGAAATAATGACAGAAAAGTTCCCTGATATAGGGAAGAAAAAACCCACACAAATGCACGAAGCTCACATAGTCCCAAGCAAAATGAGCCCCAAATAACCAACACCAAGGCACATTATAATTAAATTGGCAAGCACCAATGACAAAGTAAGAATCTTACATGTGGCCAGAGAGAGACAGAAAGTTACATACAAAGAAACTCCCATCAGGCTAGCAACTGATCCCTCAACAGAACTCACCAGGCCAGAAGGGAATAGAATGAAATATACAAAGTCATGTAAAGGAAGGAAATGTATTCAAGAATACTGTATCCAGCAAGGTTGTCAATCAAAATTAAAGGTGAAATCAGGAGCTTCACATACAAAAAAATATTAAGGCAATTTATCAACACCAAACCAGCAATCCAAGAAATGCTAAAGGGTCTACTGAAAAAGAAAGAAAGAAAGAAAGAAAGAAAGAAAGAAAGAAAGAAAGAAAGAAAGAAAGAAAGAAAGAAAGAAAGAAAGAAAGAAAGAAAGGAAGGAAGGAAGGAAGGAAGGAAGGAAGGAAGGAAGGAAGGAAGGAAGGAAGGAAGGAAGGAAAGAAAGAAAGAAAGAAAGAAAGAAAGAACGAAAGAAGAAAGAGAAAGAAAGAAATAAATAAAGAAGAAAGGAATTAAGTAAGTAAATGAAGCAAAGAAGGAACACATGGGTAAAGAATAAAAATGGTGACAAATAAGTACCTATCAATAATAACTTTAAATATAAATGGATTAAATGCTCCAATCAAAAGATATACGGTAATGGATTGGATAAGAAAATATGTAAGACCCATATATACGCTGTCTACAAGAAACCAACCCCAGAAAGAAAGACGCACACACACTGAGGGTGAAGGGATGGAAAAAGGCTTTCCAGGCAAATAGAAATGAAAAAAAAGACTGGAATAGCAATATTATATCTGACAATTATATCTCAAAGTGAAGGACATAACAAGAGATAATGAAGGCCACTTCATAATACTAAAGGGAAAAACCCAACAAGAAGAAATAACTCTGGTAACCATATATGCACCCAATACAAGAGCACCCAAATACAAAAAAAACAAAAAAACAAAAAAAAAACCTCCTGAAGGACATCAAGGGAGAGATTAACAGCAATGCAATAATAGTAGGAGATTTTAATACTCATTGGACAAATCCTCTAAACAAAAAAATCAGAAAAGAAACATCAATCCTAAAAGACTCACTAGACCAGATAGAATTAATTGACATCTTCAGAAAATTTCACCCTAAAGCTACAGAATATACATTCTTCTCAAGTGCACATGGGTCATTTTCAAAGATAAAACATACGTTGGGACATAGGCAAAGTATCTACAAATTCAAGAGGATAAAAATCATACCAAGCATCTTCTCAGATCACAGTGGCATAAAACTGGAAATCAACTACAAAAAAAAATCCAAAGAAATAAAATACACATAGACCAAACAGCATGCTATTAAACAATGACTGGGTTACCAGAGAGATCAAGGAAGAAATAAAAAAACATCATGGCAACAGATGACAATGAAAACACAAACATCTAAAATCTATGGGAAAAAGGGAAAGTAGTCTTGAGAGGGCAGTTCATAGCTCTACAAGCCTACTACAAAAAAAAAAAAAAAAAAATAGAAACAATGGTAATAAATTACCTAATCCTACAACTCAAAGACTTCGAAAAAGAGCAAGAAGAAAAGCCCAGTGTAAGCAAAAGGAAGGAAATAATAAATATGAGAGTGCAGATAAATGAAATAGAAACCAAAGAAACAATACAAAAGATCAACAAAACGAAGAGTTGGTTCTTTGAAAGGATAAACAAGATTGATGAACCTCTAGCAGGCTCACCAAGAAGCAAAGAGAGAGGACCCAAATAAACAAAATCAGAAATGGAAGAGGTAAAAGAACAACAGACCCCACAGAAATACAAAGCGTTGTTAAAAAAAAAAAATACTATGAACAACTCTATTCCAACGAACTTGACAACCTGGAGGAAATGTTATTCCTAGAGAAATACAACCTTCCAAAACTCAATAAGAAAGAAAAACTAAACAGCTTAATAGAGCAGTAATAATGGAAGAAATTGAAGCAGTCATCAAAAAGCTTCCAGCAAACAACAGCCCAAGACCAGATGGCTTTACAGGAAAGTTTTACCAAACATTCAATGAAGAACAAAAACCTATTCTCCTCAGACTATTTCAAACAATTCAAGAGGAAGGAACACTTCCAAGCTCCTTTTATGAATCAAGCATCACTCTAATACCATAATCAGATAAAGACAACACAATGCAAGAGAATTACAGGCCAATATCCTTCATGAACATAGATGCTAAAATCCTCATCAAAATTCTAGCAAATTGAATCCAGCAGAACATCAGAAAGGTCATACACCATGACCAAGTAGGATTTATCCCAGGAATGCAAGGATGGTACTAAATCCGCAAATCAGTAAATGTGGTACATCACATAAAGAAATTGAGACATAAAAATCACATAGTCATATCAATTGATGCAGAAAAAGCATTTGAGAAAATCCAACAACCTTCTTTGATAAAACTTCTCAATAAGGTGTGAATAGAAGAATCATACCTCTACATACTGAAAGCTAAATATGATAAGCCCACATCAAACATCATACTCAATGGGCATAAATTAAAACCATTCCCTGTAAGAACAGGAACAAGACAGGGATGCCCACTATAGCCACTCCTCTTTGACATATTACTGGAAGTACTAGCCATTGCAATTAGACAAGAAGAAGAAATAAAATGCATCTAAATTGGAAAAGAAGAAGTAAAATTGCCTTATTTGCAGATGACATGATATTGTACATAAAAACCTTAAAGACTTCATTAAAAAACTAATAAACTTAATACATAAATTCATCAATGTAGCAGGATAAAATATTAATGTCAAGTAATGTATGGCCTTTCTATACACCAATAGTGAGCTTACAGAAAGAGAGACTAAAAAAGCAATCTCATTTACCATCGCAACAAAAGAAATAAGATATATATAAATAAACTTAACTGGTAAAAGACCTATACGCAGAAAACTACAGGGCCTTAAAAAAAAGAGATAGAGGAAGATGTAAACAGATGGAAGTAGATACCACATTCATGGATTGGTAGAATCAACATCATCAAAATGTCCACACTATCCAAAGCAATCTATAGATTCAATACAATCCCCATTAAAATACCAGTGGCATATTTCACAGACCTAGAAAGAACACTCCAAAAATTCATCTGGAATAAAATAAAAAAAAAGACCTCAAATATCCACAGCAATCCTGAGAAAGAAGAATAAAGTAGGAGGGATCTCAATGCCAGATTTCAAGCTGTATTACAGCAAACAATAGCCCAAGACCAGACGGCTTAACAGGAGAGTTTTACCAAACATTCAATGAAGAACAAAAACCTATTCTCAGACTATTTCAAACAATTCAAGAGGAAGGAACACTTCCAAGCTCTGTTCTCAAAACTGCTTGGTACTGGCACAAGAACCGACATATAGACCAATGAAATACAATAGAGAATCCAGATATTGACCCAAACCACTATGTTCAATTAATATTTAACAAAGGAAGCATGAACATACAATGGAGTCAAGACAGTCTCTTCAATAAATGGTTTTGGGAAAATTGGACAGATACATGCAAAACAATGAAATTAGACCACCAACTTACACCATACACAAAAATAAACTCAAAGCAGATACAGGACTTAAACATACTATGGGAAAACATACTAGAGGAATCCACAGGCAGTGCAATCTCAGACATATGCCAAAGCAATTTCTTCACTGATACTCCTCCTAGGACAATAGAAACTAAAGATAAAATAAACAAATGGGACTACATAAAAATAAAAAGCTTTTGAACAACAACAAAAAAAAAATCAACAAAACAACAAGAAAGCCCACTGCGTGGGAAAACTTATTTGCCCAGGTTATCACTGATAAGGGTTTAATCTCCAACATTTATAGGGAACTAATACAACTTAACAAAGAAAGATAAACAACCCAATCAAAAAATTGGCAATGGACCTAGATACTTTTTGAAAGAAGACAGAAGGAAAGCCAAGAGACATATGAAAACATGTTCAAAGTCACTAGTCATCCAAGAGATGCAAATCAAATCAACAATGTGGTACCATCTCACACCTGTCAGAATGGCTATCATTAACAAAGCAACAGATGACAAGTGCTGGAGTTGATGTGGAGAAAAAGGAACCCTCATACACTGCTGGTGGGAATGCAGACTGGTGCTGCCACTGTGGAGAACAATATGGATATTCCTCAAAAAACTAAAAATGGAACTCCAATTTGACCAATGATCCCACTTCTAGGAATATATCCCAAGAAACCAGAAACACCAATTATAAAGGATAAATGCACCCCTATGTTCATAACAGCGGCCTTGCTTCACATCAGGGCCTTGTCTGGGCAATTCCAAACCCTATACAAAGAAGAGGAATCTGCAGATGCCTCTGTAGCTCCTGCTGGGCAGCCCCAGACAGTGGCTGACCTTGCACCTCTTTGGAGATCCAAGTATACCCAGTGGTCCAGAGTGAGACCATACCAGATTACAACTCTTCACATTCATAAGACACACACTCATGGGGCAGACTCAGTGAGCACCAAAGTCCCACTGAAGCAAGTCCTTCCCCATAAGGGTGTTTCCTGCACAACAGATCTTCCAGTGTAGACACAGCTTGTCCTCACAGCCAGTTGGCCTGGAGGTCAATTCCTCCCAGTGATACCAATAGCAATCAAGGATTAACTACAATAAGACTGTGCATACAGACCACAAAACGGTGCAACAAGAGCAACCACCTAGGGTGACTGGGGAGACTGAGCCACTGGGCTCTTTAGGACACCTGACACACAAGGCCACTCTATCAACTCAAGGAGATTTATCAGCTACCCAGTACATAGAAACAAATACAGGGAAGCAACCAATATGCAGAGACAAAGAAACAAGTCACAAATGAAAGAAATGAATGAAAGCAAAATACTGGATATACAGTTCAAAACCATGGTTATAAGCTTACTCAAAAATCATCTAGAAACCTCTAAGAAATTTAATAAGACCCTCAAGGATATGAAAAAGTACCAACCAGAAATTAAGCATACACTGACTGAAATAAAGAATAATATACAGAGATTCATCAGTAGATTAGAGGATCCTAAGAATCAAGTCAAAGTTTTGAAATATGAAGAAGCAAAAAACACCCAACTGGAAAAACAAAAACAAAAAAGAACCCAAAAATTTGAAGATAGTGTAAGGAACCTCTGGGACAACCTCAAGCGTACCAACATCCAAATTATGGGGGTGCTAGAAGAAGAGAGAGAGAGCAAGATATTGAAAACCCATTTGAACAAACAATGACAGAAAACTTCCCCCACCTGGTGAAAGAAATAGACTTGCAACTCCAGGAAGTGCAGAGAATTCCAAACAAAAGGAATCTAAAGAGGACCACACCAGATCCAAGATGGTGGCTTAGGTGAACACACCTAAACTGCTGCTGTGCACAATAATTTCAAAACTACAACTAAAAAACAAAACATCTATCACTCAGAACCACATGAAAGCTGGCTGAAAGGAAGCTCTACAACTAGACTGAAAGAGAAAGGAGCATTCAGGGCACAAGAGCTGAAAAACTGAGGTACGGGGACAAATGTGCTATTCGGGCTGGCAGCGGATTCTGGCTGGCAGTGGATCCTGGCTCCTGGGAGGGCATTGCTTTCTTCAACCCAAAAAGAGACAAGCTCCCAAACTCTCTGAAATCCAGTTTCTAGGGAGAAGCTAGACTGTCTGCCATCAGGTCGGAAAGTGAGGGTGGCTTGCTTGCAGAACTGTAAGCAAGAATAATTGTTTGCTGTAGTGGGGCGCGAGACACAGGGACTCGGTCAGAGAGGCAGAGATGGCTGACGGGCAGCCATTGCTGTTGGCCACGCCCCAGCCTAGTGACACCCTGAGACTCTGCCCTGAGACTCCGCCCCACACAAATCTAGGAACACACCCAAGCTCCAACCAGCAGCTTTTGCATATAAATGGTCTTCTCCATTGCAGTTTAACCTAGCAAACTTGCAACCTGGTGCAGACAGCTCCAAAGCTTCCAAGCTCCAAGCAGGGAAGAGAGGACTCTGGTTCTCACTGTAGCTCCTGCAGGGTGGCCTCAGCAGTAGCTGAACTGCACCCCATTGGAGATCCAGAAGCCAGTGTACCTAGTGGTCAGTGTGAGACATCAGATTTCAACTCCTCACATCCATAAATGTCACATTCGGGAGGCGGACTCAGTGAGCACCAAAGCCCCACTGAAACAAGGCCTGCACCATAACTGGGTCTGCAGCGCAGAAGTTCTATTATAGACACAGTGGGTCCTCACAGCCAGTTTGGATGGAGATCAATTCCTCCCAGTCCACCAATAGCAATCAAGGCTTAACTACACCAAGACTTTGCACTCAGCCCACAAAGGGGTATACAAAGAGCAACCACTTCAGGTGATTGGGGAAGCTGAGCTACTGGACCCTATAGGTCACCTACCACACAAAGCCATTCCATGAACCCAGGGAGGCAGCCAAAATGTGGAGACACAGAAGCATGTCATGAATGGGAGAGATAGAGGAAAGTAAACTACTGGATGACACAGAGTTCAGAATCACATTTATAAGGTTACTCAAGAATCTTCTAAAAACCTCTGAGAAACTTGAAGACACCTTCAAGGACCTTAATGAGAATTACAAAAAAAAAAAAAAATGGAACAGGACCAATCAGAAATTAAGCATACACTGTCTGAAATAAAGAATATATAGAAACTCAACTCTTCGATCAACGTACCCCAAGAGTCAAATCAAAGATCTGGAATATGAGAAAACAAAAAACACCCAATCAGAGAGGAGAAAGAAAGAAGAATCCAAAAGTGTGAGGATAGTGCAAGGAGCCTCTGGGATGGCTTTAAGCGTACCAACATCCGGATTTTTGGGGTGCCAGAAGAAGAAAGAGAGCAGGATATTTAAGGCCTATTGAAATAAATATGACAGAAAACTTCCCCTACCTGGTGAAAGAAATAGACTTACAAGTCCAAGAAGCGCACAGAACCTCAAACAAGAGGAATCCAAAGAGGACCACACCAAAACACATCATAATTAAAATGCTAAGGGCAAAAGAAAAAGAGAGAATCTTGAAAGCAGTAAGAGAAAAACAGTTAGTTACCTATAAGGGAGTACCCATATGACTGTCAGCTGATTTCTCAACAGAAACTGTGCAGGCTAGAAGAGAATGCCAAGAAATATTCAAAGTGATGAACAGCAAGAACCTACAACCAAGATTACTCTACCCAGCAAAGCTATCATTCAGAATTGAAGGTCAGATAAAGAGCTTCACAGACAAGAAAAAGCTAAAGGAGTTCATCACCACCAAACCTGAATTGTTGGGAGCCTGCAGAGTTGAGGCAAGCAACTCAGTCTTAAGGAAATAGAATTAAGTTCCTTCTAGCAGAAGTTATGTGGTGCCCTGAGGGCTTGGCCAGAAGATAAGATTAACCTGGGGCTTAGCATCTCCTGTCTTCCTGCCTCTTCCCCTTCCTGATCTTCCCCCCTAGATAGCCCAGCCTTGGAATGTTGCACCTTGGAATGTCACACCACCTCTGGCAATTAGTCAATCCTGTGTTGCCATACCAAAGACCCCCCCTGCATAGGCAACCCTACCCCCCTTTGTTTCTGCTGTATAAATATAGCCATTTCAGAGAATAAAACTGAGGCTTGATCAGAACCTTGTCTTGCCTCCATTCTTTCGCGTTCCTTGTTTGATTCATTCTCTTAGGTGGTTCCTGCGTGCCCCCCATTGTTGTCCCTCGGGTCGGGACACTGAATTATGAAATGCTAAAAGGTATTCTCTAAGAAGAGGAAGAAGAAGAAAAAGGTAAAGATAAAAATTAATAACAACAAATACATATCTATGAACAAGTGAATTTAAAAACAAAGGGAATAAAAAATCTGATGAACAGTATGAACTGATGGATATAATAAAATCAGGGGCATAGAAAAGGAGTGGACTGACAATTCTCGGGGGGAAAGGAGTGAGGGGTGCGAGAAGAGACTGAACAAAAAGCGTACACCTATAGATGATAATAGTATGGGGGTAAGGGCAGAGGGTGGGGTAGGAACCTGGTGGAGGGGAGTGATGGAAGAAAAAAAGAGGAACAATTGTAATAATTTGGTTTTTTTAAAAATATATTTTATTGATTTTTTTACAGAGAGGAAGAGAGAGGAATAGAGAATTAGAAACATCGATGAGAGAGAATGATCGATCAGCTGCCTCTTGCACACCCCCTACTGGGGATGTGCCCACAACTAAGGTGCATGCCCTTGACTGGAATTGAACCTGGGACCCTTGAGTCCGCAGGCTGATGCTCTATCCACTGAGCCAAAAACGGTTTTGGCATAATTGTAATAATTTGAACAATAAAGATTTATTAAGTAAAAAAATGGAATCTTATAAATAAATAAATAAATAAATAAATAAATAAATAAATAAAATTACTGGGGGGGGGGGGGGATACTATAAAAAAAGTGAAGCCTGACCAGTGTTGCTCAGTGATTGAGTGTCGGTTGACACAGGAACCAGGACATCACAGTTAGATTTCTGGTCAGGGCACATGCCTGGGTTGTGCAGGAGGCAGCCAATCAATGTTTCTCTCTCATTGATCTATTTATCTATCTCTCCCTCTCTCTTTTCACTCTGAAATCAATAAAAACATTTTTTAAAGTGAAAAGTCAACCCACAAAATGGGAAGATATATTTACAAATCACATATATGTATGTCATATGTATCTGATGAGAGACATATCCAGAATATATAAAGAACTCTTACAATAATAAAAAAACTAACCTAATTTTTAAAAAATGAATAAAGTGTTTGAATAGATATTTCTCCAAAGATGATATTTAAATGGCCAATAAATAAGGGTAAGAAAATATATTCAACATCATTTGTCATTAGGGAGATACAAATCAAAACCACCATAAGCTATCTCTCCAAACCAGTTAGGGTGGCTATTATAAAAAAGACAGTTATAAGTATTTGCTAAGAAATAAGAAAATTGCAGCCCTCATACTAGTAGAAAAGCAAAATAATGCACACTTTGAAAAACAGTCTGACAGTTCTTAAATTGTTAAGTATAGATCTAATAATTCCACTCTTGGTGTATATATATATACCAGAAGGAAAAACAGTATACATACATGTAAAACTTGGACACAAATGTTCTTTGCAGTATTATTCATAATAGCTAACAAGTAGAAACTACGCAAAAATCCATTAACATGTTTATCCATGAAATGGATAACCAAAATGTGGCATATCTGCCTACTGTGATAAAATGTTATTTGGCAATTAAAAAGGAATGAAATACTAATACATGTCACAATATGAAGGAGCATGAAAATATTATATTAACTGAAAGAAGCCAATCACAAAAAAACCATATATAGGCAAATCTCTCCAGACATATCTAGAAACAGAAAGTAGTGGTCGAGAGCTGAGGGAAAGAAGAGAATGAGGGATTGCAACTAAGTGTAGGTTTCTTTTGGGGTGATGAAAATATTAAACTTAGATTGTGATGATACTTGTACAACTCTATGAATGTCTCAAGACCATCCTAATATATAAAAAGCCAGGGGTCGTCATGACCAAAACAACTGGACGGACAACAGAACATGGGGAGACTAGCCTGGTGGTGGTGGGGGGGGGGGCGGGTAGTGAGGGACAATCAAACCACTGAACAGCAGGTTGTATGGGGCAACCAGGCCAGGGAGGGAGAGGAATTAGTTCAGGATAACCAACCCCCCAAACAGCAGGCTGCATGGGGCAACCAGGCTGGCAGGGAGGGCAGTGAGGGATGACCAAATGGCCAAACAGCAGGCTGCATGGAACAACAAGGCTGGCATGAGGGGGCAGTGAGGGACAACCAAATAGTAGACTGCATGGAGTGAACAGGCCAGCGGGGGTGGGAGGTGGGAAGGGGGCAGTGGGGGAGACCAGACTGACTGGTTGGGTGCCACCAGGCTGGTGGTAGAGGCAGTTGGGGATGACTAGGTTGGCGGGGGAGGGGGCAGTTAGTGGCGACCAGGCCAGTAGGGGGGGCAGTTGGGGGCAATTAGGGTGGCACAGGGAGCAGTGAGAAGAGACCAGGCTGGTGTGGGGGGGCAGTTAGGGGTGACCAGGCCAGCAGGGGATCCAGTAGGGGTGACCAGGCCAGTAGCAGGGGGTAGTTAGGGCTGACCTGGATGGCAGTGGAGAGCAGTTATGAGTGACCAGATCAGCCGGGTGGGGAGGCAATTGGGGACACACATGCTGGAAGAGGGGGCAATAGGGGCAACCATGTCAGCTGGGGGGGGGGGGCAGTGAGGGTTAACAGGTCAGCAGGGAGGGCAGTGATGTGAGATCACGCCACCAGGCAGGTGAGCAGTTAGAAGCCAGCAGTCCAGGATTGTGAGAGGGATGTCCGACTGCCAGTTTTGGCCTGATTTCTGGCCTAAACTGGCAGTCAGACATCCCCTGAGGGGTCCCAGATTGGAGAGAGTGCAGGGTGGGCTGAGGGGACCCCCTCCCCTCCGTGCACAAATTTCATGCACTGGGCCTCTAGTTTAATTATAAACTTTAAATTGATGAATTTTATGGTATGTTAATTTTCCTACATAATAATTATCCTATTATACATAATAATATGCTAATAGATCAAATAGCAGAACAACCGAACAACAGGTCACTATGATGCACGCAGACCACCAGGACACATGAGTGGAAAAGAGGTAGCAGCTGCATCTCACACCCACAAACGGTGATGTCCCCAATTGCTCCGCACCATCACCAGGTGTGAGCGGGGCCAGTGCCATCAGCCAGTGGGAACAGAGATGGTGGGAGCAGAGCTGCTGGCAGACAGGGGACCAGGCAGGGGGAGGGGCCAGGCAGGGGCACGAATGATGGACCATGACCTGCCCCTGTGCCCACAGCAGCCTCATGGCCCACAGTTTCTTTCAAGGTGCATGAATTTGTGCACTGGGACCCTAGTATATCCATAAATATTTTTAATGCAATGTAACTAGTGACAAGGCCCCTGCAATTTGTGGAGTTTGTGACTTGAGCTCTCAATTGAAGAATGAGCTACTTTAGGCCTCCAAGGTTAATACTTCTTGAAACAGAGCTTCTGATTAGAATTGGACAGGGCTGTGATCACTAGGGACAATTACGTGTACAGATTTTATGTGTTCTCAATTAAGGGTAAAAGTTTAAGTCATTAGTTTATCAGTTAGTTCCTGTGTCTGGCCAACTGTGATTTATCTGTTTCATGAACTGTCCATGGGAACTATTTGCATCTTAGATCAGCAAATTGCCCTCTGTTCCAGAATATATTTCCAGGTCAGTTGTTCCTACCATTGTTTAGTGCACTGGTCGGCAAACTCATTAGTCAACAAGCCAAATATCAAGAGTATAACGATTGAAATTTCTTTTGAGAGCCAAATTTTTTACACTTAAACTGCTTCTAACACTTCAAAATAGACTCATCCAGGCCATGGTATTTTGTGGAAGAGCCACACACTCAAGGGGCCAAAGAGCCACATGTGGCTTGCAAGCCACAGTTTGCCGACCACAGATTTAGTGTGTGTGCTCAAGGGAATGCAAACTGATTATGGCATTATCTTAAAACATAATTAGGAGGTAACTATGCTGCCAAAAAGTTACATAATGCATTCCAAAGCCAATTAAAATTTAATTTTGGACCAAGCATGCTGCATATACTCTTTTAGCACAGGTTTAAATAGTAAGAGTTATGGGTACGCATGTAGAATAGTTTTTTTAATGTAAATCTTTCTTTCAGGGTTCAGAAATTCTGATAGTTTAAATTTAATGAGGGGGGGATTTAAAAATTACAGTCTCAAACATTTGTCTCACTACAAGTATGTCTATCCACTATCTTAGAAGCCTTAAAATCCAGTTTGTTTGAACACCTCAATATTCAAAGTTGGTCCACAGCCTGAAAGATCCACCCCAAAAATCTGCATTTTAACAAGATATCCCAGGCAACGTGTGAGCACATTAAACATTCAGAAGCCTTGCTCTCATACCTAACTGAAGCTCAGTGCAGAGCAACCTCAAGAAAACTGGGCAGTGGGTCGTTATTGGTAATGTCAACTAACACAATACGTAAGGATGATTTCTAGGTATGTCAATAAAGCAACTGAATGGATGGTGTGTGATTCATTCAGCCAGGGAATATGGAATGAAGATGATGAATGAAAAAATGATAATGGGAGAAATACAGGAGAATATTCAGATTTTGGCAATTGGTAAATAATGAATAATTACTACTTGGAACTCTGATATCAAGACAATTTTTCTAATTTAGAGCAGAATATTCTCATTTTTATTTCTGAAACTCAAACATTTTAGTTTTAATATGAATCTTTTGTAATATATTTTCATTAGTACACTGATTCTTTTTTGCATTTACTTAATAGATATAAATCTGCTCTACTGGTGTTATTGTTAAAATTCATTGTTGAATATAGATTTTAGAAAAAAAGAAAAAAAAAAAGTCCTAATGAAAACAATAAAATGTTTTGTTATAAAGCAGCCCATGTGCCAGTAATGCAGGAATCCCAATAAGAATATAGTACTGTAGCCCTGGCTGGTGTGGTTCAGTTGGCTGGCGCATTATTCCATATACCAAAAGGTTAAAAGTTTGATTGTCAGTTAAGGTTGGGAGGCAAACAATCCATGTTCTCTCTCCCTCTCCTTCTCCCTCTCCCTCTCCCTCTCCCTCTCCCTCTCCCTCTCCCTCTCCCTCTCCCTCTCCCTCTCCCTCTCCCTCTCTATCTCCCTCTCCCTCTCCCTCTTCCTCTTCCTCTCCCTCTCCCTCTCCCTCTCCCTCTCCCTCTCCCTCTCTCTCTCTCCCCTTCCCTTCTCTCTAAAAATTAATAAGCATATCCTGGGTGAGGATTTTTTAAAAGAATATAGTACCGCACAGCCTATAGTTTCAATTATTTCCTCCTAGTAAAGACTTCTGAACAATATGCAAAATTATTTGAAGTTATTTTCTGTTAGGAGGCATTAAACTGCAAGTTTTCATCTTTCTTTGGTTTCCAGTCATCCATAAGATTTTTTTTTTTTTTTTTTGCCTGGTTATGGGTTAAGGGGAAAAAAAGTTAGCATCATGTATGTAAATATTGATGATTCATGTGCTCCAATAAGACCACTATTTACAAATCAGTTCCTACAGTTAATTCATGTTCTCCTACAGTTAATTCATGTTCTCTGACATTGGAAAATAATGCAGATCTTTTGTTCAATTATTAAGCATATTACAGAATCATTGGACTTTAATTTGGGGTGGCATTTCAAATGTTATTTGTGATAGTTCAACCTATTTCACAGTCAACCTCTTTAGCTAAAAGTATTATAAACATACTCAACTGTCCTGAAAGTAAAAACAAAAGACACAAAGAGTAGACTGTAGCAACGTTAAAATGTTCCTAACTTATTCAAAGTGTTTCTGTAAATATGCGTGAAATGAGAAAGGAGGTTATGTCGACAACTTTTACTTAAACCCTGGGAGTGGAAAACAGAGGACCTTGTTCCTAAGGGAAGCTTCTGCTGCTCTAGGTGTCCTTACCTCTTAGCTTTGCCCTTTTGGCTCCAGCACCACACCCTGAGGTAGTCCAGCCTAGACCCTGAGGCTTCAAGCAGCAGGTGATTAAGGGTCACTGATGGCAGGAAGGTTCCTGGGTGAAATATGGGAACCTTACTCTTCCAGGTCCACCTATCTGTATGGAAAGGAGCAATTCAGACCAGACCCAGAGACACCTTCCTTCTCTCCAGGTAGATACCATTCAAGTATAGCCCTTATGTTCCTTAAAGAGCTATAACTCTCCTAAGCCTACAGGGTTGAATAAGTGGAAACCCATCCATTGCACCTTTGTCCCCACATCCCCACTTCCTGCAAAGGTGGTTTATAATCCAAGTAACCAGGAGGTCTTTCCAAGTAAATCAGTGGTCTCCATGCTATGGTGAGTTTGGGAGGAAAGGGAAGAAAGGAACAAGAAAGTCTCCTGAAGAGTGATATTTAAAATGCTAAATAGTTCTTGGTTTCCACCCTTAAGATTCTGATTCAGGAGGTCTGAGCTGAGGACCAAATTATTTGCATTTTATAAATTGCCCTAAGCAATTCTGATGTAGGAAAAAGTGATATAATTGGTTTGAGAATAGCAATTACCACCTTTGCAAATACATCATTTATTCTTAAACATTTATTTCATGTCCTTTATTGATTTCAGAGAGGAAGGAAAGGAAAGATTGAGCCTATAACTTGGGCATGTGCCCCTGACTGGAACAGAATCCAGGACCCTTCAGTCCGCAGGTGGAGGCTCTATCCACTGAAGCAAACCGGCCAGGGCATCTATTTCATATTCTTAACTGATGTTGTTGACTTCCTGTTTGGTTCCATTCAACATTTACTAAGCAACTATTGTTTGCAGAGGATTGTACTACTTTCTGCTTTCCTGGTGCATTTGGACTGTGTGGAAGGCATGAGAAGAGTAGGATGTGACCACATTAGAGAGCTATTTCTCAACTTCCTAAAAAAAGACTGATTCAACCTTCCATTATTTGTGAAACAGATTAACCAAAACAAGTACATTACCCAACCACAGTTACTATCATTTTACTAACCTTTTTAGGGTACCAGTGTACCAGAGGTGTCACAGCCTTGCCAGTGGGAGGGTCAATTCTGTAAACCAAACTGCCACCGTTCAAATTCTACCTTTTCCACTTACCTGAGTTGACCATAGATAACTAATTTTATTTTTCTGTGCCTCAGTTTCCTCATCTGTGAAAATAAGAACATAACACCCACTTCAGTGAGTTTCTATGAGGATTGAATGAAACACTTAAATATCTCATTGATGTAGAGAGCCCCAAGAATCTAAATAATATTCTTAAAATTCATTGTTTTTGTTTTGTTTTGTTTTGTTTTTGTTGTTGTTTTGTCAAAGCCACAAAACCATCGTGAGAACAGGAGAAAATGCTTTCGGGGCTAATTTGGACAGTGGAATTAAAATTTATGTGTAATTCAGATGAATTACTATAACTACAGTGATCTTGTTATTTGCTCCTTTGATTTTTAAGGTTTCCTAACCCTTGACTTCTTGGACAGTTTGCCCTGCTAATGCCACCCTCCGCCCGAAAGTCTCCATCCGAACCCCGACTGCCGGGGGCATCGGGGTGTCACCCTGGCGCGCGGCCCCAGCAGGAGCCCCGCGGGGCCAGGACCGAGGAGCGGGCCCCGAGCCCGGCACAGAGGCGGAGTGCGGGCCGGTCCCGCCCCGCAGGCCGCGCCCCCCCTCGCCCCGCCCCGGGCCGCAGAGCGGGCGCGGTCTGGGGGCGGGGCGGGCGCGGCCACGTGACCGAAGCTATAAGAGCGCTCGGGCGGCCGCTGCCGCCGCGCCTCCTCGCAGCCGCTCCGCCCGCCTGGTTCTCACGGCCCCCGACCTGCGGCGGCCGCGGCCCCGGCAGCACCATGGCAGGTACGCTCCGCGCCGCCCTCGCCCGCCTCCCGCAGACCCCGTCCGGAGTGCCCGGCCGCGGGACCGCCCCTAAGTTGCCACTGGCGGCCGCCTGGCCCGGCGCTTCCAGCCCCAGCGGCCGCCCCGCCACCCGGGGGCGCGGAGGTGGGGCCCCCGGCGGAGTCTGGTCCCGCGGGGCCCCGTCTTCTCCGTCCTTCCCGCCGCCCGCGGGCCGGAGCCTCCGGAGCGGCGTCCGCGAGGCCCGACGCCGGCGGCCAGGCCCGGCTCCTGGGCCTCCGCCCCGGCGCTGGCGGTCACGCCGCGCCTATTTTTAGGCCTTCGGGCCCGAGCCTGGGGAGGCCGGAGCCGAGCAGCGGCGGGGGGGCGGGGGGGGGGCCGCCGGCCCACTTGTAGCTGGCTGTCCTGTCCCGGGGCGGAGGGCGCTGGTCCTCTGTGTGGAGGCTAATGCGGGGATGTCACTGAGAACAGTGGCCTGCGGAAAGACTGCAGGTGCGACGCGTCTGTGGCAGGTGGAGCTCCCACCACCGTCTTTGGCCTCTACCGTCCCTTGTAATGTTTGCGAGTGCTGCTGGCGAGTCCACGTTCCTACGCGTTTGTCCTGCCCCGTGCTCCATCCTGGAAACCATCCACACCTTGTTTCCCGAAGCCTTTGGATCCTACTTCCCGTTATTAAACTTTTCTTCCTGGTCCCCTGGAATCTGCACCGCTTTTGAGTGAAAATCTCTCATTGTACCTCTGGGGCTGGCTGAAATGTTGCCTTATTATGATGGATGGGTTGGACGAACAAGTAGAGGGTGATGGGCATGACAAGGGACAGGTGTCACCGGCTGGGACGCTGGGACCCTCCAGGGATGGGGACCACCAGTCATCCTAGAACTGAATAGTGGGGTTGCCTGGAAGAGAGCCCGACACTAAGTGTGAAGATGGCCCTCAGGTCAGAGGCTGGGGATGCACTTTCCTCTCACCCCTCAGTGGAATTTCCATTGCCTTCTGCCTCCACATTGGAAAATGGCAAAGGGAGAATGAGGAAACCTAAGACAGAATGGCTTTGTGACAAAATGTCCCAGCTCCCTGGGGCAACAGTGGGGCAACAGTGACCCCAAATGACCCCTATCAGAGCTTGATCCTAAGTATCCTGTACACTTGGGTACCCACCAACTTACTGCAGTTGAAACCCCCTCAGAAACAGTATGTCCCAGAATCACTGCAGGAACAACGGGAAATCCTAAGGCATGCTGGTGGTCTTGGCAGGGTGGGTTTGTTGAGCAGGAAGAATAAATAATCCTTCTATTTGCCTTTGGTCCCTGCAATTAGATGATTATTGGGGACAGGTGTGTGTGTGTGTGTGTGTTTGCACGCGCGCGCGTGTGTGAGAGAGAGGGGGGGGGTGGGGAGAGGGAGAGAGAGAAAAAAAACAAGAATGAATATGTTGGGGAGCAGAGTGCAGGTTAAGGGGTACTGCTTGTTTTTCCAAAGAAAACAAAGCACCTTCATGAGCTTGTGAAGTGATTCTTAAGTCAATTAAACAGCCATTGATCCCTGTTTAGATAGAAGCATTTAGGAGGCAAAGCCTCTTTGAGGAGCTGACATTCGAGCAGACATTCAAAGTGACTCTTGAGGGTGGTGGGAGGCCTCTGCTGCAGGTTGAGAAAACTATAAAAAGCCCAGGGCCTGGCAGAAATGGAAGCACCAGGATGAAGAATATGGCCTCTGCTTTCAGCTCTCAATTGGAGTTGTTAGTTGGATTTATGCTTAGCTGAAAATACTGTCTATGGTATCTTCCAGGAGAAACAGAAATCACACTTCTGAATAGCTTCATCACCATCAGTTAATTGCCTCTGAGTGTTAAGCTAGTCTGAGAATGTAGCTTGTTTGGGTTCTAAATTAGGACAGATTGAGAGAGGAACTGATTTTTACCAAATTATTGGTTGAGATGGGTCCTGGGGTGGCTCTTTATAAGTAGGAGATTGTAATGAGTGTTTTTCCCCCTCTTTGTATTAAGATCAGGCCTTTGTTACACTGACCACAAATGATTCCTACTCCAAAGGCGCCCTGGTGCTGGCCTTGTCTCTGAAACAGCACAGGACCACCAGGAGGCTGGCGGTGCTTGCCACTCCGCAGGTCTCGGACTCCATGAGGTGAGGACTGCGCTGCCTGTGTCTGTGTGGTGCTTTGATGCCCATCTCCCATTGCTGGCATCAGTGGGCACTGAGGCCATACCCTTTACAGGGGTTGAGCACCTGGGGGAAAAAGATTCAAGTTGCTGAGTGAAGAATTTCAGGATGAAACCTCTGTCAAGTTTTCCGGAGATGTTCCAGTCAAGCTCCCTTCTGTGATGTGAGGAGTAGATTGATTCCCCCTTAACAAGTTCTTTGGGTGTAGGTTTTGTACAGGCATTCTCTTCCTGTAGTCACACTTCACATGCACTCCTTTCCTGTTTCAAACCAGGGAAACCTCAGGTGACTTTCAAAGAAAATGGCAGTTTTCTTCACTGCCATTGACTTTTGTAACCTAAAGATCTTTATTTACAGATTAATAATTTGGTATGGTTGCCAAAGGACTTTCTGAATTTGGGGTTGTGCTAGGAGAGCAGCACAAAGGGCATAGCTGCTTGTTGTTTGGGTTTTTCATTTTGATTTGTTGGAATTAAATTTTGAAATATCTGAATGAACTACCTACTTTCAAATACGAACTTAAAAAATATCTGGGCGCAATAGCTACTCTGTATTGTGTTTATTTGGCATTCTTTTATCCCTCTTAGATTGAAAAAACTTTTTTCAAAATATATGAGCACATGCTAAGGATCTCTGAAAAGGAGAAAAACCAATATAAAACCTTGTTTCTAAAGGGTACTTTAGGAAAATGCAAGAAAGTTTATCTCCTAGCCCTGGCCTGATGACTCAGTTGGTTGGAGCGTTGTTCCATTCACCAAAAGGTTGCAGGTTCCAGTCCCAGTCAGGGCACAAACCTAGGTCTGGACGTGACCTGAGGCAACCAATTGATTTTTCTCTGTCACATCAGTGTTTCTCTATCTCCCTCATTCTCTAAAAATTAATTAACAAAAACAAAATTTATCTCCTAATGTGTATATCCTAATTTGTAGTTTATTTATGGGGATATATATATATATATATATATATATATATATATATGAGGATAGATGTAGTCTTAGTATCCCCACCTCCCCCCACTCCATACCTACGCCTTTACTGTGGCAAATGGTACCATCGACCATTTCTTTTCAATAAGACCAAGTTTACTGTGCAAAATAGAACATATTCTTGGACAGCTCTGGAGACAAGTAATACAGCATCAGTTTTGTTGTGCATGTCTGATATTATAAACTCTGTTATGACCTGGCTTTATCATGTTTTAACTTAGGTTGAGTTTAGTGTCTTACTAAGTATACTCTTCTCACCACTTTTGGATTGCTTCCTAAAAAAAATATTTAATTAATTGGGGACATGGAGAAGTGTTGTACTTCACAAACCAAAATGAGCCTTTATGCCAGGAGTGCTAAGCACATCGTAAATGCTGGTTACATTCTATTCTAAAAAAGAGCAACTGAATAACAGCCTGTGCACTTCTTTGAGATAGGTTCAGGCCATCCTCTGTTAACTGCTTTAGCAAAGGTTATTAGTTACAGGATTCATTGCAGACATTATATATATTTTAACTCAGCATCATTTGTAAAAATATGTGATAGTCGGAAAGAATCAGTTCTAATAAGATATTGTAAATACATAGGCGGTTGCAAAGATACACTATTACCACGTGTGAGTCACTTTCACAGCTGTTGCGGCAGTTTGCCTGATGTTTGGTGGTATAATAAAAAATAATAAATTTCTATAATAGTGTCTTAAGACAAGTGCTTCATGCTCACCATAAGCAGTTATTTTAGTGAAGTTAATTGCACATGCAAAATAACATAATTTGTCCTGAACTAAATGAGGACATATTTAAGAGATTGTGCTATGCCAAAGTAATAGCTTACCCTCCTAATGCATGGATTGACTAATAAGAATGCAGTCTTATGGTAGATATTACTTGTTCTGAAAAGATGCTAAACACTGGTTTTGAATTAAAAAAAAATTTTTTTACAGGAAAGTTTTAGAGACAGTCTTCGATGAAGTCATCATGGTAGATGTTTTGGACAGTGGCGATTCTGCTCATCTGACCTTAATGAAGAGGCCTGAGTTGGGTGTTACTTTAACTAAGCTCCACTGCTGGTCACTTACACAGTATTCAAAATGTGTGTTCATGGATGCAGATACTCTGGTGAGTGTGGCTTTGATGGCTAAAAGGATGTATATGGCAGCTGTGATCAGTTAGGCATTAGCAGAATGCTGCCAAGACTTCACAGTAAAGTTCATATTAAAACAAGTGTCAGGTGATGAAGAAAAGCAGGCCCAGGCTGCCTTACAGCTGTCATCTGAACAGTTAAGACCAGCAACAGATTGTATCTTTTGTGTTGGATGACTTAGAGAGAGCTTTAGAACATTTTTGTAATGCTTTCCTTCCCCATCTTTGAATCAGGTCCTAGCAAATATTGATGATCTTTTTGAGAGAGAAGAATTGTCAGCGGCTCCAGACCCTGGATGGCCTGACTGCTTCAATTCTGGAGTCTTTGTGTTTCAACCTTCAGTGGAAACATACAGCCAGCTGCTTCTCGTTGCTTCCGAGCAAGGTAGTTTTGATGGTATGTATATCACTTTATCATGTTATCTCTTTATCTGATCAGCTGTTAGTAAATTCTAGGAATTACTCTTCTCAGGGATATAGTTGTTGTGGTTCCTTGTGCCTGGAACACAGCATTACTTGAGGGGTAGCAAGATTTTTATGTTGTACACTTTGGAAATACTAGTGTGTTTGTGTGTGCACCTGTATCTTTTTTCTATAGATACATAAGAGTATCCTAACCTAGGACAGGCAGTTTACAGACTTACCTTTATTTGTTTTCCTGTGTCTAAATTAGAGTCTGATAAATGAATCATGTTTATTCAAGAATTCAAAAGAGTATGAGGCAAATAAAAAACTTTAACAACTAGCTAAACCCAAGTAAACTTACATGCAAGACCTGACAGGACCAAGTGTTGTCTCCAGGGAAATTGGAGGAATAAACCTAATAATTTGGCTTCATCCTCTTAGGAGACATTAAAAAAGAAGATAGACAGTTTACATGAATAATCTTTGTCTCCATATTCTCTTTCTCTGTAAGGCTTTGCATCGTATAGAGAGTGGCATCTGTAAGGCTGAAGAGTGATCACTGGCAAAGTCATCACCCATTTTCCATGATAAGTGTATACAGTAGTAGAAAGGTTCTGACTACTTGTGAATTAGGGTCTCACATTCTTTGGAGAATTTTGATCAAATGAATTAGTAGGTATGCTTTTATTTCAGGACAGTCTCTGAAATAAAAAGCTATGTGTGTTTTTTTAACAACAAAACCATACACAATAAGACAAAATGAGTAGTTAAATGCAAAAGCAGCTTTTTAAAAATTAATGTTGATGAACCTTTTGAATAAAAGAAAGACCCATGTATCCAGGAAGAAAGACATGCCTCAGGAGAAGCCCTTTCAGCAGTGACTCACTGTCAGATACTTGACATTGTGGCAAAAGCCCAGGCCAGGAACACAGGGCTGGTCCAGGGCCTGAGCTCTAGAGCAGACCAGGCCCTAGGGTATTTTTCCTCCTTACTTCCCTCTTAGAGCAGACTTGAGATTTTCAGTAAGTAGGTCTTTTGAACTAGCAGAAACAGCTTTCCTCAGGAACATAAGGTTCTAGCTTCAGTGCAGATATGATTCATTTCTATTAACTACCCTATTTCCCCGAAAATAAGACAGTCTTAATATTAATTTTTGCTCCCAAAGATGCGCTAGGTCTTATTTTCAGGGGATGTCTTATTTTTCCATGAAGAAGAATACAGTACACAATTATTGTTAAATGAAAATAAAGGAAATTTATTACCTGTATACGGTAGTACGGTAGTTGTCAACACAAACCAGACAAACTGAATCCTACAGTATCAAGAATTTACTCATTTATTCAATGACAATCATGTCATCATCTTCTGGAACATCATCATAACAATCCAATTCCTGAATTTCCTGGTGAATTTTTTGTGACTCCATTTCTTTCAGAATCAGTGGACCAAATCTCTCATGTTTAGCCTAGGGGGGCCTTATTTTGGGGGGATGCCTTCTATTTCACTCAGAAGGAAACCTATAAGTAGGTCTTATTTTATTTACGGGGAAACACGATAGTTATAAATCTAAAACTCAAAATCTCAAAATTAGACTTTCTAAATCAAAAAATTAAATCGGCAAGTTTATCTGAAGTTAAGAGATTGGAAGTGAAAACATTTTAAGTTATACATAACACTGAAATTGTTTTTTTTTTTTTTTTAATCTTTATTGTTCAGATTATTACAGTTGTTCCTCTTTTTTTCCCTCCACCCTGTTCCCACCCTGCCTGTCCTCATCCATAGGTGTACAATTTTTGTTCAGTCTCTTCCCACACCCCCAACTCCGCCTTCCCCCCAAGAATTGTCAGTCCACTCCCTTTCTGTGCCCCTGATTCTGTTATATTCACCAGTTTATTCCGTTCATCTTATTTTGTATTCACTTGATTTTTAGATTCACTTGTTCATAGATATGTATTTGTTGTCACTTTGTTGTTCATAATTTTTATCTTTACCTTTTTCTTCTTCTTCCTCATAAAGAATACCCTTTAGCATTCATATAATACTGGTTTGGTGGTGATGAACTCCTTTAGCTTTTTCTTATCTGTGAAGCTCTTTATCTGACCTTCAATTCTGAATGATAGCATTGCTGTGTAGAGTAATCGTGGTTGTAGGTTCTTGCTATTCATCACTTTGAATATTTCTTGCCACCACCTTCTGGCCTCATAGCTTCTGTTGAGAAATCAGCTGATAATCGTATGGGTGCTCCCTTGTAGGTAGCTAACTGTTTTTCTCTTGCTACTTTTAATATTCTCTCTTTGTCTTTAGACCTTGGCATTTTAATTATGATGTGTCTTGGTGTGGTCCTCTTTGACTCTTTGAGTTCTCTGCACTTCCTGGACTTGTAAGTCTGTTTCTTTCACCAGGTGGGGGAAGTTTCCTGTCATTATTTCTTCAAATAGGTTTCCAGTGTCTTGCTCTCTCTCTCTCTCTTCTTCTGGCACCCCCATAATTTGGATGTTGGTACGCTTGATGTTGTTCCAGAAGCTCCTTGCACTATCTTCATATTTTGGGATTCTTTTTTCTTTCTGCTTGGGTGTTCTTTTCTACTTTGTATTTCAAATCTTTGACTTGATTCTTGGGATCCTCTAGTCTACTGTTGGATCTCTCTATATTCTTTTTTCCAGTCAGCGTATGCTTAATTTTTAATTGGTCCTTTTTTATATCCTTGAGAGTCTCACTAAATTTCTCAGAGATTTCTAGAAGATGCTTGAGTAACCTTTTAACCATGTTTTTTTTTTTAACTCTATATCCAGTATTTTGCTTTCCTCCATTTCTTTCATTTGTGACTTGTTTCTTTGTCTTCACATTTTGGCTGCTTTCCTGAATTGATAAGAGTGGCTTTGTGTACTAGGTGTCCTATAGGGCCCAATGGTTCAGTCTCCCTAATTACCTGAGGTGGACACTCTTGGTGCACCCCTTTGTGGTCTCTGTGCCCAGTTTTGTTGTAGTTAAGCTTTGATTGCTGTTGGTATCACTGGGAGGAATTGACCTCCAGGCCAATTGGCTGTGAGGACCAGCTGTGTCTACAATGGGAGAACTTCTGTACAGAAGACACCCTTATGAGGCAGGACTTGCTTCAGTGGGGCTTTGGTGCTCACTGAGTCTGCCCCCTGAGTGTGTCGCTTAGGGATGTTGAGTTGTAATCTGGATGATCTCATCTGACCACTGGGTACATTGGCTTTTGGATCTCCAAGAAGATGCAAAGTCAGCCACTGCCTGAGGCCACCCAGCAGGAGCTACAGAGAGATCTGCGGATTCCTCCTCTTTGGGGTTTGGAGGTGTCCACTTAAGGCCCAGCTGTGAAGCAATGCTAGCTGCTGTGGAGCCTTGAGCCTTTTTTTTTTGGAAGCTCTGGGACTCTCTAACCCAGCTGCAGTTACTTTTAGGCAAAAAAAAAACAAAAAAACAAAAACAAAAAACAGGCCATTCATTTGTAAAAGCCAATGTGCACAGCTTGGGTGGGGTTGTAAATTGTGTGGGGTGGGGTCTCGGAATCACCAGGGTGGACAAATAGCAGTGGCTACCAGTCAGCCCTGCCCCAAAGAGGCCCCTAGGTCTCTGTGTCCCGGGGCACCATGCAGGAACAATGATCGCTGCAAGCACCTCTGAGAGAAAGCTGCCCTCAAGTTTTGGCTCCATGCCAGACAGTCCAGTTTGTCTCTGTATGAGTCCGGATCCCCAGAGTCTCACTGGGAACTAGAGTTCAGAGCAGTCAGGAGCTTATATCTCCCTCCTGATTGAAAAAGTCAGCAGTGTACCCAGTTTCCAGCCCTTTTGTGTGCACCTCCATACCTTGACACTTCTATACCTCCTCACCTCCTACAAGACTCAATGCACTTTTCTCTTTTCTTCTAGTTGTGGAATTTCCACTCAGCCAGCCTTCTCGTGGTTCTGGATGGTATTCGGTTTTTCTTTTAGTTGCATTTTGGATGTGGTTGTGCAAGGCAACAAGTTCAGATGTTTACCTATGCTGCTGTCTTGGTTGTCTTGAAATTGGTTTTTTGATGTTGCTGTTCACTGGAATTGAATTCTTTTTAGTCATTTGAGGATTTGGCATATGTAGCTATTTGAAATGTTATTGAAAAGACTAAGGAAATTTAAGTCTTAATCTTATTTCACTATATTTGGTTTGTTTATATTCTTTGCCAGTAGTTCTCAGCCTAGGTTGATTTGGCAACATCTGGAGACATTTTTGGTTGTTGCAACTGAGTGGGGAAGATGCCACTGACATTCAGTAAGTGGAGGTTAGGTGTTACTGCTGAATATCCTACAACACAGAAGACAGTGTACAGCCAAGACTGAGAAACTGCTAAAATGTCAGTAATGCTAAGACTGAGAAACTGCTCTGTACAGGACATTACATGCTCTAGGACAGTAGTCAGCAAACTGCGGCTTGCGAGCCACATGTGGCTCTTTGACCCCTTGAGTGTGGCTTGGCGTTAGAACCACTTCTTCAAAATAGACTCGCCCAAGCCGAAAACCGACTTCTGCACATGGGCCATGAAGTTTTAGTTGCACTGTATGTGCGTACCCATCCGTGGTATTTTGTGGAAGAGCCACACACAAGGGGCCAAAGAGCCTGAAGTGGCTCTCAAGCCCTGGTTTGCCGACCACTGCTCTAGGACAATGAGCAGAACTGTCTGGATTGTAATAAATGGCAGCATCTGGCATTAATCAGTCTTGAGTAAGAAGTAATGTGTTGAGTGCTCATTGTAGGGAGAGCCAAGTGTAACCTCTTCACTTTACTGACTTATTATTTTAGCTCCTACTGTCTCCATTCATATAAAGAATGAAAGCTGTATTAATATTTGAATTCAAACCATGTATTCCTTATTTCTACTGCTTATGCTAAAAGTTGTCTTTGCATAAAAGGAAGGTGAGAGTATATTTAGCAGAAATCCACTGTTTGTCTTAACCTTCCTGCAAGAGTGTAGCTTTCTTTACCTCTCATCAAATTTGAAGGAAATCATGTAATCCTGTCAGAAATTCAGTGTAAATTCTCGATTTCAGTAAGTGAATCACATTCTAAAGTAGACCCAGTGGCTTGAAATCTACATGATTTTAAAGAGTGTAA